ATATCGATACATAATACAACAAGCATTGTTAATTTCCTACCACTTTGTTTGTAACTCTGTATTGTCTGTACTGTTCTTTTGCTATTTTGTAAAAGGTTGTCTGTCTGTTAATGTTTTCCTCCTTTTATTAAAAAAAAATCTGTTGAGAAATATATGTCAAGACGAAGCAACAAGAAATTTTATTCTTTGGCCAAATAATTGTAATTCTGTGTGAGAGTCCAAAGTGTTAAAGAGAACACTACCATCAGAAAATCACAAAGATGGCCATACTTATAAGAAATTGGAAACTGCTTAAAGATGATAGGACAGTTACGTATCTCAAGCACTACACTTCAGTGAACTATTGTGTAGCTATTGACAATGACAGCTATAAAACTAAGTTGCAACATGAAAAATACTTATAATAAAATGGCAAATGGAAAAACATGCTAAAATTGGGTATAATTACAACTCTTCAAAATTGTACACATAGAAAAATACTGAAGCATATTAATTTTAAGAGTAGTTATTTTAGGGTACTATGATTATGGGTTAACCTTTCTTTTTTTCTTTTGACAGAATTTCATAACATGGTAATATTAGAATTCTGCTGCATAAAGTATGATAAGTAAAAAAGGAAAAAGAGAGAAGGAATTCCCCTCATTTAAAACGTCAAGTCCTTCATGGAATTTTTCAAGTGATGCTTTAAATGGAGTTTTTATCGCTCCACATGTATAGCTCAGAATAAGCAAAGGCCCAGGGTTCTGAACCAGGACCGATTCAGGGTGGGGCAGAGTTGGCTGGAGAGGAGAATGTGAGATCCACAGCCAAGAGGCCCAATATATACATTCTCCAGAAATGGGACAGGATCCTTCTAAGAATGTATAAGTCTGAGAGTATAGCCACAGTGATTCTTTGCTTAATGGAAAAGAGTAACCTAATTAGATTAACCCCACAGACGTTAAATTTTATGTGTCAGTCTGGTTAGGCCATGGTGCCTGTTTGCTTGGTCAATTGTTAGTCCAAGATGTTACAGGGAAGGCATTTTGTGGATGTGGTTAGCACCTATAAGCTGACTTCAAGTGAAGCAGATATGCTCCATAAAGTGGGTGGAACTCATGCATCAGTTGACGCAAAATGGGGTTACACCCTTGCAAACTCATTCTAAATGGAACTATCCTGTCCTAAGTGTTCGAGTCATCTAACCCCCTGGACATCAGAGCTTTGCCTCGCTAGCTTTCAGTGTGGTCAGAACACTAAAATTAGTCCACATTTGGGTAAAATCATCAATACGAAGCCTACTTTATAATAAAGTGACAAATATCTGTGACAGTTAACCTCTACTGTCAATTTGCTTGGCTTTGAGAGATTTCAAGATTAATAAAGCACACCCCTCTGTGTTTCTAGGTGGGTCATAGAAGTGTGGCCTTGGACACCACCTCTGGCTCCTGGCCCCTTCTTCTTTGGCTCTTCTCTTGTAGAGATAGGCTCTTCCCTTCTCATATACCAAGAGGTGAGCAGCTTTCCTTGCCAGATCCTTCTGCCTTGAAGCCAACCAAGCACAGACTGAAACCACGAGTTAAATAATCCTCTCTTGATTTAAATTGCAGGTGTCGAGTATTTGGTCCCAGCAATGGTGAAGCTGACAAATGCAATATCTTAGTAATTTACTGAACTTTGCAACTATACACTGCACTGCAGAGTATCCATGCTTATGCTCATGATTGTACACCTGACGGCAAGCTGTGTTTTATTGCAATGCCCAACATTACAAGAGTGTCACACTGTGCTCTGCTAGCCAGGAAAAAAAATCAGAATTCCAAATACAATCTGTACTGAATGCATATTTCTTTTGCAACATTATAAAATTGAAGAGTCATGAGTTGAACCATTGCTAATCCAGAGATTATCTACCTATCTATCTCTCTCTATCTGTATAATTCTATTGATCCTGTTTCTCTGGGGAACCTTGGTTTCCTAGTACCTAACATATCACAGCAGCACTTTTTCCTCTTTTCATATTAAATTAACTTTAAAGTATGCAATGATAGAGTAAATTCTTCAAGAAAGAGCACAATGCAGATAAAGTTGAATTCTCTTTGGCTACCTCTATCTTGTTCAATCCACATTCTCAGAAGGTAAATATCATTTTATTTACAGTCTGTATCCTTCCAATCCTCTCAAAAATATTTTATAAACACACAAGCACACAGAGCAAATAGATACTGTTATTTTGTGTGTATATTAGTTTTTTCATACTTACTACATGCATTATACAATTTACTTCTTTTAGTCAGTTAAAGAAATGGCTAAATAAAAGTGGCATTTTCATATAATGGAATGAAATATTTCAGTTAGAAGAGATGAATTAGATGTAATTAAAAATGTGTTGAAGAAGTGGAGAGTTTAGGCTGAGGGAGCAGAAGGAGCTGATGAATGAGTTGATCAGCTCAGCCTCCCTCGGCTCCTAACTCCCTCTGAACACCGCAGAATGAGGGCTCTCTTGATAGAAACTTTGACCTCCCTCCCAGGCTCCACTAAAGAGGGAAGTTATCTCAGGTATTCCTACAGCTGCTATCCTTGTCACAAGTCCAGGCTGAGCTAGCATTTACATGGGTCCTGTACTCATTAAGCCAGTATTTAGGTTCTCCCTCCTGCAAATACAGATGGATGCTGAAGCTCTGGATAGAGCTCAGAGCCCTGGAGCTACAGAACTGTGGATGTTGGGAGGATGGGATGGTGATAGAGCCAGGTGTAGTGATGCTGAGTGGGGGACCACAGAGCTGGAGATCTATGCTGCTTTGGAGGGTACAGGTAGCAGGCAACTCACATCCAGTGAGCCTGTGTCATCCCCATTAGAAGAGCAGCCTCCCTGCCACCAGTGCCAAGCCATGTAGTTCTATCTGGTCCTCTGCTCACCAGAGGGGTTAAGAGACCTCTCTTTTTCCATGGGTGGATGGCTGTGCCAGACAAGGCTAATGGGTTGGGGAGGCCCTGCGTGTATTGTGCTGTGTGGAAGTGGGGGGACATGGACAAGTAACTTGAACTTGAAGGAACAGTCTTTTCAAAAGCTATAGAATATCTAGGAGAAGGAGAAACAAGCAGTGTGGAAATACCCATCAGCATTGTCAGGGAGTGATGTAGACTGGACATACAGTAGTATTTGGAGCCCCAAAAGGATGCACTAACAATACAGTGGCTATAGAATTTGTTCCACAGACACCATCATGGTGCAAGATAGCTCTGTGGAGGGTAGGTAAGGCATAAAGTGTCCTGGTCCCTGACACAGCCCTAATACAGTGTTCTGTCAGGGAGGTGATGGTGCTCTGAGGTGTCTGTGATTCATCAAACCTGAAGTTGCCCACTGAGTATGGGGGGTGGCAGGAAAGCCCTACTAGGACCACTGAATACTCTTGTTCAGTTTCTGGGACAAGCTGTCAAGCAGAATGGGCTCAGACAGTACTGTTACAGTGGTGTTGTCCAGTCCTCCTGGGCTGAACTCTGCTGTAGCCTCTTCTCTCCATACTTTCATAGCATTCTGGGGTTTCAGGAGAACTCCCTGAGCTCTCCACTTTCTTACCTGTGTCCTGGGAGTATGGTTGTAGCAGTTGTGCATGATGAGCCCATAGGAAGTAATGCTCAAAGTATGGTCCCTGGCCAGTGTGACTGTGTAACCTGGTTTGCCCAGTATTGTCCCAGTGTTTATCTTTTGCCTTAAAGGAATTATTTAAACTGCTCTGTACTTCCTCCACAAAGTGTCTTGCTTTAGATGACAAATTATATAGTCACTCTGTTGCTGCATCAATTGTGGGCTCCAAATACTACAGTATGTTCAGTCTATATCAATCCCTGACAATGACTTCCTCTCTTGTTCTCTGAACTTTGAAAGATTTAGGGCATTTAGAGGATTGGTAAACTCATCACTTGATATGGGGCCTGTGGAGTCTCTCAAGAACTCTGCTCATTTAAAAGTAGGCATTTCATGTACAGTACCAATGCACTATGATGAATGTTATCATTATGTATATCTAAAATGTACCAACAAAATAAAAAAGTAGGCATTTAAACTGCAGCACAGGGAGGAGGCTGACAGCTTCAGTGAGTCACCGGTGTCCAATCTCCACCCATCTTTCCTCCTCTGGAGCCTTGGAATGGGCCTGTCTCAATGAGTGGGGCCACCACGTGTTTTCAGCACTTCTGCACGGCTGGAAGAAGGGGCTGTCTCTGCCAATGACACTCTTTCACCCACACGGGAAGAGAAACTGAGTGTACAAGGTTTTCCACATCTCCACTGTGTTAGGCAGCTTTCCCCTGGCTGGGACACGATTCTCAACACTCACAA